CAGAATAGTTATTCTGTCATTAAATAAAACTGAAAAGGTCCCCTAGAGGTCCTCAAGTCTTGGTGGCCTCAGGCACAGCTCTTGAGAGGAAAGAAGCTGCACTGCTCACTGAGGACAAGTCAGTGGGATATCCATCTTCCCAATTAGAAGCGGTCAGATTGCTGAGGGCAGTATGTGTCGTCCCTGGCTCAGCTTCCGCCACTGACTCAGTGAAGGGAACTTTTCTCTTTTGACTTCTGCTTCTTCCTCTCCTTCCTCCTCTTCCCCCCGTCCCTCCTGCTCTTCCTTCTGTTATGGACCATATAAGTTAAAGCGCGCACACACACACATGCACGCACCCCAGCCACCCCACCACCCCTCCTTAGCTGCTTTTTGCAAAAGAGAATCTAAAGTCATACATCTGATGTTTAAATCGAGAGCAGTTAGGGCTAGTTAAGAGTAGGGGAGAGTCAGAGACACTCATTAATGTAGGCCATTATGGTTAAAAGCTTAAACCTCTTGAATTCTTGTAGCCATAGGATTAACCTGGAATTTCCATTTGGGGAGAAACTGTAAGGGATATACTCATGCCAGATACCAGAGCAGACCTGGGTTAAATTGTAGAAATTACATTTTGTAGCCAATCCAAGAATCTGCCTTTAGGAGGCAGGGTCCAGGGATATCCTGCAGGCAGTAAGCAGCAGGCTAGACCTACTTGAGAACCCCCTTCCCACATCCAACAGAACTTGACATTCAGTGCTTTGGTATGGTGATGAAATGAATCTTGTCTGGCAGGTCAAAGAGTTTAAATGACTCCATGAGCCATACTTTCTGAAACTTTGCTTTAAATTGGGTATCACTTTTCTATTGATCTTAAAAAATGAGCCCTTCTTTGAAGTACAGTTTTAGAGGTTTCATAATCATTATCTTTTGTAGTTATGGGTGGGATGGCCACATGACTACGGAACCAGGCCATACCAAGCCTCAGAGTTGATCCTCTTGATATAAATCCATGGCATAGGGGGAAAAAACAAAAACATAAGTTTTAAAGTCAAGCAGATCTGGGTTCTAGTCCCCAGCTCTGCCATTTACTAGGAATTTGACTCTGTTTTAGTTCCTTAAATTTTGTGAGCCTTGGTTTCCTTATCTCTAAGATAGGGTCAATAATACCTATACTATATGCCTCAGAGCACTGTGGTAGGATGTGCTGGATAGAATAGAGAATGGATGGAGAGGTTTTCTGTTGAAGCACCAGGCTGGAGTGAGATATTATGTTACAAATGCAAGGCATTGGTATTGATGAGAAGCTTACAACATAGACTCTCTTTGCTCAGCTGTCTGGAGGGAAAGATCAAGTCTGAGTTTTTTGTCACCTGAGAGTTCCTAGAACCAACAATGAATGGGAGCCTGAGAATGAATTTAATCAGTAGAGTATCTGCATTTCTTGACATGTCGATTATGGGGTGTATGTGTGAATTGCATCAAGCTCAAATGCTTGGCATAGTTTCAAAATCTTTGGTAAAGTACTCTACTGGGAAAGGAATCCCCACCTTTTTCAAAGGAGCCTAGAATAAAATATGGCACTTCAAATAACACATCTTCCTCTTTTGAGACTAGAGTTACAGGTGGATTGAAACTATCAGAGGTCAAAAGGAAGTCCTTCTCTCAGTGACAGGTAGAAGTGGGGTTGTAGGCCACACTTCCTGATGTCCAGTCTACTGGGCTCTTACTTACAAATACCTTGCTGGGCCCAGCAGTGTATTTTCTTCAAGTATGTGTAAAGCCAGTGCTTCTGGACTCCGGTTAGAGGGAAAGATCAAGTTTGAGTTTTTTGTCACCTGAGAGTTCCTAGAACCAACAATGACCTGCTGGCCTGGATATGGTCAGAGGCCCTGGCTTCTTCTAACACTTTGGGTCTTATAACACTTCAGAGCACTATTGCTTTCCCTGCCACAGGTTCTGGCACATAAATAAAGGCACCAAGGAATCACAGTTCATGGAGAACAAAAAGGTTTTATATTCCTGGGCTACTGATAGAGACATCTTCGTATCCAATAAATTCACTCCAACTAAGTAGATTTAAAGGTAGTGGTATCCTTGACTAGGTACATTAGTCAGTGAGAAGAAATTGGACTGCACTTTTTATTTAAGAGTCTAAAACTCCTGGGCAGGATACTGATTTCTCAAATGCCACATGTGAGGCTGACTTCTTTAGCAAGTGCAGCTATAGAGTAAGAGCCAGGTCTCTCAGCATAGCCTGAGGTTTCCCAAGTAGGAAGCTGAAAGGACCTCTTTAATGTGAACACCGCATCTCTTTGTAAATTATGTTTTCTTTTTATGTCTACTTCTCAAAATAAGCTCATAATATTCACCTACAGCTCACACAGTGTGGAGGAGAAAGATGTGGAGAGAAGAGCCCAAAGGGGGGTCTACATTTGACAAATGCTTTGTATATGAGAAGAATTTGCTTCATGGTAGATTTGTGGAAGAAAATACAGCCTGTCTGATAAGATGTGGCAGATTTCAGATGGGGTAGTGGGGGTGTTGGCAGGATACCATTGTTTGCCCCTTACCCCACACAGAGCCTTGGGAAGTCGGCTTGATAATGCCCCATTGGGTGGCTTGGGAAGAAAGGTCAGACTGCAGGCTTATTACATTCTCATTTGTTCTTAACCTTCCTACTTTTGCTTCAGCTGTCCCCCTTTCCAGTAGATTGGGAGGGACTCAAAACTTTAAAGTCTTGCTGGGGTCCAATTAGTATTCACTGATACAAAGGGCAGACTTTCAATGGCGAGGGAGATTTCGCAGCTGTGGGTTGCAAGTAGGCAAGTTACTGTGCAAGATGTGTGAAAGATTTTGATTTTTGGTGTTGGATTTGAAACAGGTGTCAATGAGGAAAGTGTGTCCTGTGCTCCTGAATGTGCTGATTAGAATACTTGGATCTCTACAAAATAAACTCTAATATTGATATGTGTTCACAGAGTCATAAACAGATATTTATGGAAGGAAAATCAAGATTTTGTTCCATGAACGTTCATCTGCAATTTAACAAAGAAATGCCTATGTGTCTAAGGATGTAATTTTATGATGCATAGTCTGCCCTCAGTTATTTGTGGCTGCATTATGTAAGTTATTAGAACTTAATTCCCCAGTACAGCCAGGCAGCCCCTACCTAAAGTACCCTACCAGACTGCCACCAAATGGGGCGAATTCAGAGAATACAGACTCTTCATTTGAAGTTAATTAGCCCAAGTCAAATGGCATTACTTAAACACATCTGAAAAATTCAGTATCATACATTCCAAAGCCAAATGGAATGTTTCAAAATGTCTGCAACTTTTGTTTTATTCTCATTAAGATAAACTATTGAGAAAAGGTAGTCTGAATATCATACTATATAGGCGCTGTCTTTCATAAATGGAGGTGATATTACCGCGATTCTAGATTTTTTTATACTTCAAAAATTCATTTATATATGGATAACTTTCCGAAGCTATGCCAACTACATGCTATTTGTCCCTTTATTAAGAGATTGATAACTTAGTGAGTATGATCAGGACCGTCTTCAGAAATCCAGAAGCTGGGATTAGGACTCAGAGCCTGTGGCCTCTTGGTGGAATGGTATGCCAGATCAGATACTAGGATTTTCCTTCAATTCACTTCAATTATGTCTTTACTAAATGCCTAACAGTGTATAAAATCCAGTGTGAATTCCATGGAGGTATAGAAGTTTACAAAGATATAACCTTTGTCTTCATGAGGTATCTCTAGTATTTTTCCTAAAGTATGCAGTCTATATTTAAACCTTGTCTATGTTTTTGAGAACTGGGAATTCTTTCTTATCCCCCAAAACATAGAATGTAAGCAACTGGAAACCAAGCATCGCCTTCTTGGAAGGCGATGTTGCATTAGCTTTGAAGTCAGACATGGGTTCCAAGTCAGACAGTGAATCCACTGCCTGTTTGTCTCAGGCAAGTCACATAACCTTTCTGAACCTCAATTTCCTCAGCTATAAAATGGGAAGTCTGAATCTGATTAATTGAAAAGCCCTTTGCCACACTAGTGGTGAAGAGCTCACCTGCCAATGCAAGAGATGTAAAGAGACGTGGGTCCGATCCCTGGGTCAGGAAGATCCCCTGGAGAAGGAAATGATACCCCACTCCAGTATTCTTGCCTGGAGAATCCCCTGGACAGAGGCGCCTCATGGCCTTCAGTCCATAGGGTCGCAAAGATCTGGACACGACTGAAGCGACTTAACACGCAGTGAGTTGCCTTATTAAAATAACACACAAGGAAACGAAGCATAGCTTCTGGCACAAAGGGAAACATATGTTAATATTCATACTTACTTATATGGAAGTTTATTCAGGCTTTTGACTGCAAGTGAACAAATAACAAATCTACAGATATTTTCACCAAATAAATCATTTAGATTTGAGATAAGAAAGCTGATGCCATTTTTATCATTGCTATGAGTGTAATAGCACTAAGCTTTAAATTTGAATGCTGTTCACCTGAAATTTATATAATTTAAAAAAGAGTTAGCAAAATGCTCAGAAGAATCAGATCACTTTGTGTGTAGGAGGTTGCTCTTCTATTAACAGACTGCTCTGTACATCTCCCACACACCCCCTCATTTCCTACACCAAGCCTTCCTAAACTTGGCAGTTTCCATTTGTGAACTTCTAGGGATAAATATCAAGTGCCATTGAAAGATATCAGTAGCATAAGTCCTGTGTAGAGGGGCCTTTCTAATGTGGACTTCACTATAGAAATAAGGCATTTTCATCTTAGGAAATCTGTGAATAGACTGTGCTTAAAGTGCCCCCGCCAGTCTTCAGCCTTCCTTTCCACAGATGGTTCTTTGCCTTAAAAGCGTATCACCTTTTTTGACTCCAGTAATAGCTTCGTTCTGCTCTTTAAAAAGAAATTGGGGAAGAAATTGAAGTGCTTTTCAGAATTTGTTTCTACTATCATATCTGTGAAAGTATCATATAATTATATTGCATTTCTTTTTTCAGATTGGCAAGTTATGTGCCCATTCTCAACAGCGTCAATATAGATCTGCTTATTATCCTGAAGATCTATTTATTGACAAGAAGGTATTAAAAGTTGCTCGTGTAGAACGTGAAGAAACCTTATCCAGCCGAAGAAGGTGAGAGGGTTTGTTTTTTTTCTTCTCTATTTCAGCATACAATTAGCAATTGCTGTTTTAAGGTCAAAACCCACTGGAGTGAAGCTTCTTAAATACATGCAATTTAGTTCTTCTGAGTAGAGCATTCAATTAATTAAATTCTATCCTCTGTTAATGTTAAAAGAAAAAAGATATTGTATTATATCCAAACCATATTTAAATGTAAATTTACCATATGTAAATATCCAGTACAGCAACACGGAGTGGAATAGATTTCTCAAGATCTTTATTGATTAAACAAAACCTTTTTTATTTCTGATCTGGTCTCACAATTCCATGGCTTGGTTTGTGTCTTTCCCAGTTACTGACATTGAGTATGCTGTGAGTTCACCAAAGAGAAACTGGCAAGGCACTCTGATTTGTACGCACCTACAATGTGCACTCCACACACTCTTTTTTTTTTTTTTAATTTATTTATTTATTTTTTTTTTTTTTATCACAACCATAGTGTATCTTTTTTTTTTTTTTTTACATGTATTCCCCATCCCGGTCCCCCCTCCCACCTCCCTCTCCACCCAATCCCTCTGGGTCTTCCCAGTGCACCATGCCCGAGCACTTGTCTCTTTTAAGAATGATAAAGGATTTGGTTTCAGTTCCTTAAGACAGCAGTTGAGGGACCAAATTAAAGTTTCTTATTCTCTTCATTCCTCCCTCCCCCATCCAGATTCCCTCCTTCCCTATTCTAGTTTCATGCTTACCAAGAAAGGGTAGAAACTGGATTGGGAAGTTCAGTGCAAATCTTGAAGAATTGATTTCCCCAAAAGGACTGCACCAGTAGCCAACCCTTTGCCACTGGCTCAGGAATAACTAGACATGAGTTTAGCCTTGTGATGACTTTGAGAGGATTGAGAGACATTGGCCTAGGGATGGAAAATTAAGAGATGAAATAAGTAACAGTCTCAGATTTGGGCTAAATTATTTCTTTCATACCCATTTACTACAGGAGATTTTGAATTGGCAACTCTTAAGCATATATGCCACAGTTTAGAGTAAGAGAGGGTAGTAAGGCCACTTGAGAGACAGTCCTCCAAAGCATTTCAGGAAGTCCCATTTTCTTCGTTGACTTCCAACCTAACACATTTCTAGTTTCCCTAGAGCAGCAGTTTTGAAGTGTGATTTGAGAACTCAGGGAGTCCCAGAAACTCTTTCAGATGTGTGTAAGATCTTCCTTTTACTAACTTCATATCTGTCTGAAGCTGGTTTTTATTCATACACTTCAACCAAAATAATATATGGCAACACATTAAATACAGAAGCCAATGCAGAAATGTAGCTGTCTCCTGTTCAGCCAGGCAGTGAAGATATTTTGCAAAAACACAAAACCTTTACTGCTTTTTGCACTTCTTTCATTAAAATGATATTTATGCTAACATATCAAGACTCGTTATTGGTTTAAAATTAATAATAAATAAATTAAATTTTTTTTTCCTGAGTTTTAATTTCTAAAACAGTAGATGTCACTAAATATACATTGTGTAAACAAGAGCTCTTCGGGGTCCTCAATAATTTTTTTTTTTTGCATCCCCCCCTCCCCCTCAATAATTCTTAAGAACCTTTTGGGTTGTGTTGGTTATCTAGGGCTATATAATAAAAAGTGACAACAAAACATAGTTATTTAAAACAACAAACATTTATTATCTCCCAGTTTCTGTCAGGACTTTGCGGGCAGTTTAGCTGGATACTCCTTAGTCTCAAAGAAATTTCAGTCAAGGTGTTACCTGGAGCTGCAGTCTGCTGATGGGTGACGGGAAGCAGGAGGGTCCACCTCCAAGGGGACTCATTTACACGTGGAACAAGTTAGTTGATTGGAAGGAGGCCTCTGTTTCTTACCACACGGCCCTTCTGAGTGTCCTTACAACACGGCTGCTGACTTCCCCAGAATAAGTGAGCCCTGGAAGAGAGCAAGGAGAAAACGGCAATATTTCTTACAACCTAGTCTCGGAAGTGATATACTGTCATTTCTGATGTATTTGATTTGTTAGAAACAAGTCACCAGTTCTAGTCCACATTCAAGGGGAGGGAAATTGAGCTCCGCCTCTTGAATAGAGGACTGTCAAAGATTTTGTGGACATATTTTTTATTTTGGCAGTGCCACAAGACATGCAGGATCTTAATTCCCCAACCGGGGATCAAACCTGCGCTCCCTGCAGTGGAAGTGTGGAATCCTAATCCCTGGACTGCTAAGAAAGTCCTTGGACTTATTTAAAACCATCTCAGGGGTCCTGGCACCAGAGTTCTCAGAACCATTTCAACATAGCAAAGGGGTTCTTTGGGAAATTTTTGTCTTTCTGGGAAGACGAAATTAAGGCATTTCTCAAGGCCCTTTTTAGCTTCTGTCTGTCCCCTGTCCATTGTTTTCCATTGCTTTCATTCTGCCCAAACCACCTGAGAAATTAACATTACTTGTTGATCTTTAACTAGCGGAAATCTCTTGCATATTGCACTGAAATGAGGAATTTATATTATATATTAATTATTTATAAATGATACATAAAATTAAACAGAAATTGTAATATGTTTGTTTTTGTTATATTAATTTTTATTTACAGCATAATATAAATTAAATATATAGTACTGTGTATATATATGTGTGTGTGTGTGTGTTTGTATGTGCATGTATGTGTATATATATTTTTTTATTCTTGCTGCTGCTGTTCAATTCAGCAGAAATTTGGGAAACACCTATTATGTGCCAGAATGTATATTGGGCACTGAAAGTCAAAACATAGTTTCTGCTCTCCCAAGTCAGTCTAATGTGGAAATAGACTTAAGTACAAATAATTTCAAACCAGTTTTATAAGTGCCAGAGAATGTGCAGAGTCTGTGGAGGCAGCCAACAGGGGAGGGGAGAGCTCTGCCCAGGTAGAGTGGAGGCTTCATGGGAGATGTGGTATATTAATTTGTAACAGAATCACATGTAAAGCTTTTTCAAAATAGCACACTATGCCAGTCACATTTTGAGTTTACCCTGTCAACCTAAACACACTTACAAGTAAATAAGAGGTTTATTAAGATCCTGCTGCCTTCTCTCTTGGGCTCTGTGAGATCTATTCCCTTTTGCCTCATTGGGGAGAGCTCTATGGGTGTTGATTCCTCCAGGGAAAAGAAAAAAATTAGTAAATGAGTTCCTGGCTGAGCACCCAGATTTGGCACTTTGTTTAGATTCATTTTTGACTTTGTTGCTAACCCCCAAAGAAAAGAAAGAGTAGTGAGAAAAATGGCAAAACCTGTAGACTTGAGTTAAGTTGCAGTCAGGTAGGACTCCTTGGGTGTTGGAAACATGAGTTCACCCCATAATGCTTCTTATCTTTTTTGCAAACTGAAGCAAAACTGAGATGGAGCCCTTCTTTCTGAATTCTCTGCCGGAATAAGAAAAGAAAAGAACAGGAGAGTGTCTGATTTCATTTAACTCTCTCAAATAGGCATTGTAAACCCTCTTAGGGAGAGTGCAGAATGAGGGTTAAGATGCTCTCTTGCTAAATGCACTGCCTGCCTCCCTGCAATCTGATGTTATTAAGAGGGCTTGTTTGGGCAGAGTGGTAGTACCTTTGTAAATTTCTCTGTATGTAAATTTCTCTGCACAGCATTTCACACTGTCCAAAAAAATACATGTGCCTCCAGCACCGCTCACACCCATGCTCCACAGCCATCCTCTGTGGTTGAAAATCTGATAATTGGAAAGAAACCCTATTGTAGCTTTCAGTCTGTGGAGGTTGTAAGCAAGCTGTCTGAATCTGATTATGAGTTGAAAAGCTCCATTGCCTTATTAAAATAAAAACACACAAAGAAATGCAGGATTCCTTTGGTAGCATTCAGAAATCATCTGTTTGTTTTGTCTGCCCCCAACTGGGTAGTTTGCAACACACAACTAATCTTAGAAATTGCTTAGTTCAATTTAAAGGCAATTTGATAACCCAACTGGTGGTCTAAGTATGGGACTCGGCAATCCTTGCAGACACAAATATTGAAAATATCTGTCATCAGATTTCAACCAGGGAGGATAGGACAAGATATACAAGTAGGACAATCAGAATAGAAGAAATGATATTTTCACAGCCCTTTCTAAGTCGAATATTTTCAGCACATCTCAGATGTCAGCCTGTCCCTCCTTTGCTCTATCGAATGTCTCTTTTACCACATCCCCTATGATACTGCTTACCTTGTCATTTGCATATCCCCCCAAAGTTTGGTATTTTCTGACCTGAGCACTATCTCTCCCTTTTCCAAACACAAAATCTGTAGTTGAATATAGTCCACTCAGCATCTACATACCAAGCTTCTGGCTCAAGTGCTAACCTGTGAGAAAGTCACACCCTCCTGAAATTACATCTGTGTATTCCAGCCTTCCTCATCCTGCACTCCCCCTCCTCCCTTTCCTCTCTGACTTGGTCTAAAGGGCAATGGATTAGGTGACACTAGTAAATGACCTAGAAAGGAAAGAATAAAAGCTGATCTCAGCTCCCTGGTCCAAAATCAATGCTTACTCCCACTGCCTCTCAGATTGCTGCTCTGGTTTGGCTGGGCAGCTTTGTAAGCTCAGTGGTGCCTTCCACCCTCTGAACAAAACAACAAAACATGTCTTGAAAGAATCAATGAGTTTCAGGTCTGGTACAAGTCATTCTGCCCTAAATAGGACTCTGCTGCTTTCAACATTTGTCAACACCATCTATGTTGGTGTAAGGATTAGGCTCTGATAAATAGAAGGAGCTCCTAGCCTAGTTAGGGAGACAGAGACACACAATTCTGATACATTGATGGGTGAGTACCAAAACAGAGCTATGTACAAAAGAATGGCAGCATCATAGATGGGAAAGTTAGCAGCTCTCTTGTGAAAAGGTAACTCTTCAGGTGGGCCTTGGAGGAAGAACAGAAATTCTACAAATGAAAGAAGGAAAAGAGTGTATTCCAGGCAAAGGGAACAGTATGAGAAAAAGTCTGGGCTTGTTTTTGGAATGGTAGAA